TGAACAGTGAAAATTAAAACTTAATTCTTCTGTTTTTTTTTTTGACAAATTTTTTTAAATAGAAAAAACACTATAACCTGAAAGAATGTTACAGTAAAGTTGAATATAACAAAAAATAAGATAAAAGTTATCATTGAATGATGAAGATTGTAAGTGCATTGAAAGTTTTAAAAAGTAGCTTAGTATAAAACTTAAAAAGGTAATAATAGAGAGGTAGTCAGGTAATTATTTATATACTACTATTTTTCATCACTGTTAATGCACTTATTAATCTTGTTGTTTTTTCTTCTGATAGCCTACCGTCATTTCTATCCAACTGAAAAAAAAAAAAAGTGGAGTAAAATATGTTGTTCAAACGTCATCGCTGTTATCGGTTTTTGATTTGTTAAAAACAACAAAAACAATGACAATATTTCTGACTGCTGAGATGATGCAGGATGCTTAATCAACAGCTCTTTAGAACTCCGTAAATAAATAAATAAATAAATAAATAAATAAAAAGTAAAAAAAAAGAAATCAGAGATTTTTTAACATCCTTTCATTCAAATACAGTAGACTGAGGTTAACTGGTTGCTTTTTTGAATGTTGTTCTGCTGGCTACTTAATTTTTTCCCCATCCAAATTATTGAGATAAATTTATTATTGATTTAACATAGAATTAGTAGGTCTATTTTAAAAGATCAACCTGAAGTAACAATAACACGGAGTGAATAATAAATAAAGAAATATATATATATATGTTTTTTACAGATTTATGCAGAAGACAAATAACCTATCCACATCTTAAATATGTTATAGGCACACCGCTGGTAATCGGCATAGGAGACTGATTAAGGGGTTAGGGCTGGGAAAGGGAGAGGAAACGATGAGGCCAACTGATGTCAAAATAGCTTTGATACTAGACGAAAAAAAAAACAGCTTTTTCTAGAGTACAATATATTGCGCTGGCAAGGCCGAAAATGAAATCAATATAGGGATATTGAGAGAGAATAAGAGTAATTAAGAAGAGAGAAAAACAGAATTATAGACGGTGGCTCTTGTGAGTGAATGGAAGCTTATAGCTTTTTTTTTTTTTCCTGCCTCGCCACAAAACCAATATGCCTTGTAAAGTTGGCCAGGGAAAAAAAAGAGGTCGACTCAGCACTGGGGAGGGAGAGAAGAAAAAACACAAACACATACGTACAGCATAATTTATTAATACATGTGAAAAAAGCTAAAAAAAAAGCTAACTACTCGAATTTTTTTTTGGAAGCTAATAACTGAATCCTTCTTTAAAAAAACTGCCTCTCCATAGTCACCGTAGAGCAAACAAGCAACAAAGAGACAAACAAAATTACCTACCACAGAAAAAAATGCTTTTCAATTTTTTGCCCTCTTTTTCTTCTTGAAAAATAAAAATCCGTACGTGTAATCTTTTGCTTCTGCAAACAACTCATATCCAACTGTCTACTCTTCCTCCTCCCTCTCCTTCCCTCCAATTGTCTTCGCCCACTTTAGTTCTGCGATCCGCCTACTGCTCAATGTTTATGCTTCCTTAACCCATCTCCTCCCCACTTTGTACGTCTAAACAATTATTTTATAATTAATATTATTATCATCATCACCTTCATCGTCATCATCCCTGTTTTTTTTTCTTCCATTTAGACAGGTAACTCCCCTCCACCTTAAAAGATCAAATACAGTTATATCACGTATCTGTAAACAAATTCTTATTCAATAACAAAAACAAAAAAAAGGCAATGACAACAACAAAAACATCATATTTGAAATAAAACTAACTAATTCCGCTCTACAGCATTGAAGATCATTTCACCCCGAAAAACTCCTCATTGTTTGTAATGATCACCAAACTCATCTGACAAATGCCTCACCAAAAGTGTTCTGATTAATTTATGATGTCATACCTAAACCTTTTCTTGCCACTTTTTCAACCCATCAACTGAACCAAGTATCCAGAAAGCACTTGAACTAACCCTTGAAAACAAATAATCTTCTGGCACACAGTAATAAAATTTGTCATTCCACCACCGTCATTTCGGTGTCTTTTTTTCCGTTTTTCGAGCCAGGAATACAATACCGCTAAAATTCAACCTTCAAAAAAACAACTGTGTCTATAAATATTAACCAAATTCCTAGGTAGTTCAAAAGCCGTTCTAATAGCCTTAAAAAAAAAAAAAATAAATTTGAAAATATCAAACAATAATATATTCAACAAATAAAATTCAGACAGCAACGATAGTGAGTGAAATAACACTGATTAGATTGTCAGATTGACAAAATCGCTAACCAAGTCAAAAATAGTCATTTTGTTAAACATTAACATTAGTTCAGCAATAACAATAACGACAAAAGCAACAACAACAAAACCAACCATAAAAAACCAGTCTCTACCACCGAACAAAAAATGAAAAAAAATGAAAAGGTTAAAAATATTTACTCGTGATACGTAATCCACCTGATGTAAACGTACAACCAAGCTCCCGTACACTGTACTGCATTCATATGAATAAGTACATTTTACATCTACAAAAATAAATCCCTAAAAAAATTTGTATTCATTTCCGTCAAGCACCATACATTTGATAACACTACCAACAGAACAATTTTTTGCGCCAATAAAACTAAATAGTCGCCTCAGTCTCAAAATCATTTTAAAAGCACTTACGCTATCGTCTTTTTTTCCCTTCTTTCTTGAAAGCATTACCAGCAAGTATCCACCCAAAAAATGACTCTATAATAATCACCTCATTTTCTCATTCGCCCTTTTCCTTTTTTAAGAACTCTATCAACTACCACTGCCGTTTGATTTAGCTAACCTGACTTTTTCACCATTAAACTCTCATGTTCCAGATCTCCCTAAACCTCCGTTTCCAGAGAGCTAAACAAAATATAAGATCCAAATACCTAAGTGAGGCACAGAAAACGAATATTCAAAACTTCAGAAAAGAATTCGACTAACTGGATGATAGAACCCTCAAAAAAACATCCGTATGAATTGTGCCCGTTCTTCCAAAAGACTTTGACTACAGCAAAGAAGTTAAAGCATCTTCCTCCATAGAACTGACCTTACCCTGAAATTCCTTCTTCCACCGCTACAAAAACGTATCTGTATCAACCCAAAATGCGCAATATGAAGTATCAGACAAAGATTAATAAAATGAATAATTCAACAGCAAACAACAACAGATTAAAACATGCACAATATTTCTCCTGGACAATACAGTTCCGGAATAATAACAAAAAAAAAACTCAAAATCTAGTTTTTGTAAACCTTCAAAAAAACTTCTTTACTTTTCAAAGAAATATTTTGATAAGCTGCATAAAAGTCGTGTGTAACGTCAAATAACAATTTCGAGGAAAAAAATAAAAACGGCTACGTACAAAACTCCTGTCAAGTCAGTTACCTATAAAAAAATAAGCATGATTTATTAAAATTAAGGGAAAAAAGGAACAGAAAGATTGAACTCAACAACCAGGTTTTCACCAATCGCTAAGTTCACCCCCTCCTACACCAAAAAAAAAAAAAAAAAAAAAAAAAA